TATATGATAATGTTTATAAATGTTAAATAGCAAGGCAGGGTATATGCCATAATCGATGGAGGCCTGACCACTCTCTGTCCTGATTTTTAAAATAGATTATGGAATCCAACAGGTGGCATAGTGGTTAAACACTGGACTCCCATATGGCCAACTGTTATTCAACTTCCAGACCCAGTGGCTTGAAACTCATGCTCGGTGCATGTGCATGCGTGCCCAAAATCCTGAGAGGAGAATGGAGGAGAAGGGATTTCAGCATGCCATCTCCTAGAGGGAGGGGGGTGTGGGTGGTGATTTCTCACTTTCTGTCTGTTTCTCTCTGTCTCTCCAGTGAGTGCATGCTCTCTTTAGCAAAAATCTCACACACAAAAAAATAGATTATGTACTCACTCTAAGAGATGCTAAAACAAGCTATAACCAAGATAGAGCAATAATTTATAAGTAATTTAAAAGCTCATTAAAATTTGCAGGTAACATTATACATAATGGATCTTCAGAGTGAAGTCAGTGATAATCTTCTAATCTTCGCCTTCTCCATTTTCTCACCTCCTTTCCACCTTAACTACTAACGCTCTGCTGAGGTCACCAGTAATCTCCTAATTTCCAAGTCCATTAGACACTATAATTGTAGTTTATCTGACCCTTTCACCTCTTCTCGCTTTCCTATTAACAATAAAATTCACTGTGTTTCAAGTGCTACATGCCAGACATACTAAGCAATGATTTTCCGTGGGAAGAGAAATTTTCCCCCTCCTCCAGGGGACATTTGACAATGTCTAGAGATATTTTTGGTTGTCACAATTTAGGAGAAGTAGAGTTAGGCTAGTCTCTAGTGAATAGATGTCAGGGATGCTGGTAAACATCCAATAATATGTAGAATAATCCCCCACAACAGAAAATTATCCAGCCCTGTTGGCAATACTTACCAAGGCCATATACAAATGATGACAGGGTTTTAATACATTGCAGGCTTAGCAGAGCTTATTCTCAGGCTGGCCTCAAACTCAGAATAGTCCTGTCTCAACTTTCCAATAGCCAGGACTCTGTCCACATGTATATAATTGTACTTAATCTTCACAATAACTCTACAGAGTGGGTATGATTTTTCTCTATTTTTGTTGATAAAGAAACCAGTATATCAATATAAATTAGAGTAATTATTATTGAATTCTCCAGGCTCTTTACTTCTTCCTATCTGAAACCAGTTGATTATCTGTTTATCTATTAGAGATCTATTAGAGGTAGAAAAAAAGAAAGCCCATCCCATCGCTGTGCCCTGTAAATAACTCCGGTTTAAAAAAATAAATAAAAAAGGAAGAAGAAGAAAAGAAACCTAAAAAGAGAGGAAATTGAAACAATTATCTGAGACATAGCAGCAAAAGTCCAGAACACCTCACTCATTTGTACTTAATCGCCATACCCGAAACTCATCAGGAACTTCTTCCTGGACAATGATGGCTTACTCCATCTGCTGCTATAAAGAATCTAAGACCAGAAAAGTACATTGTGAAAAAATAAATCAGAAATCACACAACAGTGATTCCAAAGCTAGGCTTAGAATTGATTTTCAGAGTCGAGAGTTTCTCTTCGTATAATTAGCCATTGACACTCAGCTGTACTATTTTTAAGTAGCTGTCAAATCTCTTGGCATAGCAAGAAGTCCAGCAAGATGGTAACAAATATCCCAAGGTTTTAAGCGTCCCTCACACTTGACAGGTGAGAAGAGGCTAAGACATCATTAGCCAACTGCAGCCCCCAGGAAAGAGCAATTTTGGCCCCTGCCTTCCAGGGTGACCCAGTGGTGAAAGGGAAGATATTGCAGGCCTAAGCTTGCCTCAGAGGTGGAAATATTCTCCAACAATCAGAAAGCAATTTTTGCAAAAACTCTTGGCAGCCACAGTGCTTTCTCTGGGGTAGTGGCTGCCCTTCTCCAAATAATGAGAAAATTATAATTATTAGCAAGAATTATTATTATGCTTTAAAATATATTGAATGCAAACAGTGTGCCAAGATAAAGAACATTTTTTTCAGGCAATTATCTGAATTTATTCAAAGTTGATCATTCCTGTCCAATCATTTGTTCATTTAACGCTTTAATTCCAGATTGAAATGTTTCAAAATGAGGTACAAAACAACATCTATGATTAGCTCATCTTCTAACTGAAGGATAGCTACAGATATCAAGATTGAGAGAAAACCCTGGCCACCAGGCTAGTCTTGACTTCTGCCAGGACCTAGAGACAGAGTTCCCATGAAAACCCATGTACGACATGTTTAAATAATTTAGTCATTACCAACAGATAGTTGAATTAAATGTGTAGTCCTCCTGCCTAGAAAGATGTAACTTTGTAACCACCTGGAAGGCCAGGTTTGAATTTAGGATTCTTGGGCTCTTAGGACTTTCATAGAAAATGTGCAAGAACACCAAAACCCACCCAGGTACTCCATCCTTTTCTCTCCCCACCTCAGGGGACACAGAAGGTACACATCTGAGCACCACAAAGAACCACCATCTGGGGCCCCTCACACATTTGGCACAGTCTATCCTCAGAGTAACAGATCCAGAATGAGGCCCATTATGACCTAGAAACAGGCTCCAAGTAGTTTGTGCTGAGAATTTTTGATCTTGGAGCCTGTGTGGTCTCAGAGGAGATTGGACTCTTAGTTGGACCTGTTCCTTGGTGCTTTGAGAAGATATGACTTCATCCTGTGGGGGGAGGGGGGCTATAGTCAGGCTGTTATAACAAAATACCACAGACTAGGTAGCTTATAAACCACAGAAATGTGTATATCATCATTCTGGAGGCTAGGAAGTCAAATAACAAAGCATCAGCAAATTCAGTGTCTAATGAGGGCCCAATTGTGGTTCATAGATGGCTGTCCTTTCTTCATTGTACTTCCTCTTACTGCAGAAAGATTGATGGTCTCTCTGGAGCTTCTTTTAAAAGGGACTAATCCCATCCATGGTGGCTCTGCCTTCATGACCTAATCAGCTCCCAAAGGTCCCCAGCACTATCATGTTGGGGGTTAGGATTTCAACATATGAATTGGGGTGGCGGAGTAGGGGGCACATAAACTTTCAGATCATAGAAGAGGACCAGAATAGGACCCTCGAGAGCACAGAGCCTAGAGCAGAAGCCCCCCTTTCTTGGAATTTTAAGACCACCCTGTACCCACAAGCCTCATGTCTTCCCCTAGCATGTGGCTTTAATGCACTGTACCTTGGTTCACGGGAAGTTCTATTGTTTTTAGGAATTGCTGTGTTTGTTCCCCACAGCCTCATACAAACCTGGTTCTGAGAGCCCAGAGTCCTTTCTTCAAGACTGGCCCCACAGACTGTATCACATGTGGAGCTGATGGACTCTGCTGACTTTGTCACTGTGGTCCAAAGTCGCCACAGTTTGAGGGTTAGCTCTTCCCAGTGGGATGGTGACATGACAGCTGCTGTGGCTCTCAGATGCTAAAGCAGGGCATGGAAAGAATTAGAAGACCTGTATGCTAGTATTGGCACAAATGCTTCGTAGGACTTAAGACAGTGGCCCAGCAATAAAATGCAATTGTTGTGAGGCCGACCCGCATAGGAAGGTTCTAAGTTTGCATCTGGAGACCTCCTTGAGAACACTGGGCACATGCATGCCTATGATCCCAGGCTGGCTGCGGCAGGAGGGGGGCGGGAGGGATCATGGCATCAATACCCTGTTGAGGATCTCTCTCTCTCTCTCTCACTCTT